AAAAAAAAAAAAAAAAAAAGAACAACTCTCAGGACACTAGGTGACCAGACAACAGACCTACTAGACCTATTGTTGATTCGAAAACAGATTAACAGTTATCTTTCAAAATAATGAACAAGCCCTTCAGGTGTACCAAACACCGCTTTTGGGCATGTATTTATCTAGCATATACTCCCTCCCATCGATAAAGAGCAAAAAAAGCAAAGGTAGTAACTTCAGTTTTTAGTGATAATTGGCTCATTCTGAACAGGGGTAGCAGTGTTTGTAATTCACACAAAGTAATAGTCTTGCCTGACATGTGAGGATATGCAGAGGAGAATAAACGAACCCCAATCCTTCCTCCCCATTGCAGAATCCTGTTTAAATTAAAGAAAAAAATATATGTATCATGAGCCGAGGCAATATAGAACTGTATAAAGCAGTCCATATGGTGATGTAAAATGGAAAACTGATCCATAGCTATTGTTCTAAGACCAAACTCTTACGTCTTTCAGCAGTACAGTAACAAGACCATACAAATCCAAGCTTATAAGGAAATAAGAACGAAATATTTTTCAATTTTCATCATCATGTTGAAATTTTTGCTGAGAACGCCATTACCGTGTAACTGCAAAGTTAAAATACGTGAGAACATATAGAACACATCCAAAACTGGAATACTGACATGGGCAATACTGACCAGAGAATATAAAGCAACTGTTTCCCGTGAGTGCTTTATGTCGCAGTTTTCTCTTTTTTATACCGAGCAAGATGGTCATGATATTCTTCCAGTTCATTCTCCAACTTCTCAATGAACTGGCTTGTATGCTCCAATGACTGCTCATGTCTATATTTCTCCAGAGCCTGTTAATTTAACAAATATTTTTCAAACCAAGAGAATTCAGCAACATTTTAATATTTTTCAAACCATGAGAATTCAACAACAAAATGTGGCAAAGAAACATGCACCATCAAGGTATGACTCCCAGCCTAAAACACAGCATCTTTTTTCGCTATCCTTATGCACACAAAATTAGCCAACATATTAATATCAAAACAAAAGGTCATACCTTTGCTTTGGACAGAGTATTTGTGGGCGATATGACATCCGGTTGGACATAATTTTTACCCCTGTAGAATATTATCACATTATTTGGCTTTATGTCGATGACGATGCCTTTGCTTAACCTAGCAAGTTCCTCTGCGTACTGATGCACTTGCCCGGGCTTGCATGGTCTGCAGACGACTTTCACCGTCTCATGATTCTTCCAATGTAGATGCATATTAAGAACAACACCTCCAAATACACCTCGTCTACCGACTGGAACATAGTGTTTCTTTCTTTCGCCTGTACGCTTGAGGTAAAACTTTTCCTCCTCAGTCAATATTTCGGGATCGTAGGTCTCGGGTGGTGCTTTGGGCAGCTCATATTTCCTCAGTTTCTCGATCAACCATGCTTCTTTTCTCTTTGCCTGAAAGGCAAAATAGAACTATTATGTTATTTCTTATATATGTATGCGTAAATAACTATGCATCGAAAGTCTATTATTACCAACCTTTTCAAGCTTGTATCGTATTCTAACATCAGGATTGGGAGAATTCATTTTCTTCTTCGCTTTCAGTCGATAAAACCTAAGTTCATTGAGCTTTGCCTTTCTCGACAATTCGGATTTTCTTTTGTCTACTCTCGCTTTCTTTGAAGGTGCTCCTTCGTGACTCTGATTCCCCATGTTAAATCTGATAACGTCTCCATCTGTATTCAGCTCTATTGGTGCAATAGTTGCATGTCGAGCATATCCCCTTACCATGTTCACACTATGAGGTCCCAAAAGATATGGTCTTCTTATACACAACGAATTGACAAGGTTAGTTCCACATGACAAATTGGGGACATATTTCTCCAAATAAGGATATAGCTTGTTTACATGTCCAAAATAACTCGTCGTGTTTTCTACTGAGCAAGGGGAACTCGAAATGGTTCCAACCAGTGACTTAAGATGAACCAGATACCTGCTGCATAAGATTATATGATCCATCACTAAATTCACACTGACATGACTAAAAGATAATATTTCAACTAATTATCATATGAGAAACAGAAAGAAAGAAACCAAAAATCGTCAAGAAAAAATCTACTGGATAGGTGGCAATTCCCAAAAAGAAATGGAAACATAAGAAAAATTTGTGTCACTTGACAACACCAATGTGGTAAAGGTCGTATGCGTCAATTGTCTACACACTAATTAGCTCATACAGTAAAAGACTAAATTACCGAAAATTAAAATAGGGGCCCACATTTGAACCATAGGTCAGAAACTGGTCCAAACAGCCACATTTACATTAGCAGAACACGCTCTCAGTGGGTACATCTAACAACTACAAAGACATATTAGCAAACAGCTATCACCAAATACTGAAATTAACAAATCATGCATATTCAGAACATTTAGTGTGAAAAGTGAACAAAAGTGGCATTCAGAGCAAGGACGGACCTAGTGATTAAGCCAAATTCATCTTTTTTCTTTCAAGGGTGATGGATATGCATTAATCGAGCTGAAAATTTGAAAATTATATCCACATAAACAGACACACACGTTAGTACCTTGTAAAAGTGGCAGTGTCATGGTTCTTCCTGAAGATGATCGTTGGTAAACCAGAAATTAAGGAACGGGGCATCTTTGATGTCTCTTTTTTCCTCCGACACAACCTGAGCATCCGAAAATATCAGCATTAAGACGAGAGGAACAGTACATTATGCTGCTTTTCATCTTCTGATATCCCTACAATCCCATTCCCGAAAACTATCTTCAACGTCCACCTAAATCCCTAACATTATTAAACCTGACAAAAAGAATTATGATTCAAAATCTCAGAGTGAGTAAATTAGGTAAGTTCAATCATCCTGACTCCTGAGCTTATTTGTGCTTGTGAGCCTCTACCCTCTAGAGCTCGTATAGTTTTAAATGGTGAATGGCGAGGCGATTGGTCAATGGCCTCGCCACGAAGCGAGGCAATTCACCATGGCGAGGCCTCGTCTACACATGTCAAATAAAGTAAATATACAGTTTCAGACACCTATGTAACAACTTAAACAATTGAAACACATAAACAGATAAGTTAAACAGAAAAACTGAACAGAAAAATTAAACAGAAAAACTAAACAGAAAACCTATGTATCAGATAGTAAAAAAAACTCAGCAGACAAATAATAAACGATAAATTATAAATGAAACAAAAATTTCACAAAATTAAAAAAAAAAAAAGAACAACGGCGCGCGCGGCATACCTGGGGAAGAGCTCGAAGATGCGGTCGGAGATGAAGGGCGGAGATGAAGAGAGCTGTCTATTTTTCTTCTTCTGCGTTCTGCGAAACCCGTTGAAAGAGGTGAAGAGCCCGATGGGTTTTTTCTCTCCTCCTTCCGAAAATTGCCACCGCTTTTTGTTTTTATTATAATAAAAAAAACCCATGCGCTTTTAATAAAACAGAATGTGCGTCGAAGCGCTCGCCAAGCGTCAAGGCGAGCCGAGGCCACCTGAAGCGAGCGCTTCGCGAACAGAGTCGCCTCAAGCAGGTACAATCTCCAAGAAATACAATTGGAAAGCCTCTTTTAATAAAGACAAGCAAATATTATTGGCTAACAAACTCGTAATTGGGTTCAAGAGATGTTATGTTTACCATAATATTCATCAATTACTAACAAAAACAAGTTGTTGTCGTGGGCTCAAAACTCAATGGGTTTTGCAAGAATTTTGCCTCATTGCCTCTATTACCTCACCATACTCAACTCTGCAGGTACAATATATATCACTGTTGTTGTTGTTAGACGGTCTAACCGTAACATAAATCATTTTTTTCGTCATTTTGTTTTTACACCAGAATTTGTGATTTTTTTTTATTATAAATTAATTTATATATATTGGTTGATTAATTATTATTAAATTTTGTTTAGCAGAAAGTATTCAAAATAATGGTGCAAGTAGGGGATTTGGTTGCTTGTCGTGTGTACAAAAGGAAAAGGAAATCAAGAACTCATTTTGGAAAAATTAAGAACAACAAATCTGAGAATTTGGGGTTGTCAGCTCAAATTCCACCCTCACCCTCACCCGCAGTCCCTCACCCTAAGAACACAACCACATGCCAAAAATTTTCTTTTCTCAAGACCAAAATAAATAAAAAAAAATGAAGGGATTGATTTCTGAAACTAAGCAAATAAAACAAAAAAAAAAATACTTACAGCCGTGTGTGTGCCTCGCGAGTCGACGACCGGTGACCACGAGCTCCTTGACCGGACCGAAGACCGAAACACACGCAGAGGCAGAGCGGACGAATCGGGGGATGCCGGGATGGTTTGGAGGTTTGGATTGGGGCAATTTTAGGTGAATTGCGGAGGACCAGCGGAGAAGAGAAGCGGCGGATAGCAGCTGGTAGAAGTGTACGGCGGCGGGCGGAGAGAAGCTGCTAGAAGTGTACGACGGCGGAGGATTTTGGAGAAGGGATACGATTTTTGCGCGGCGGAGGATTTGGGGATGGTTAGAAGTGTCCAGTGTACGAAGTGAAGCTGTAATATTAGGGTTTATTGACTTAATTAATGTATATTTGTATAAAAATATTATCAATTAATCTATCTATTAATATATAATAAGGATTAACTTAATTAATTTTTAGTAACTAATTCCCGCCAAAAACATTAATTACTGCCTATAAATAGTAATTTAACCCAATTTCATAAAAACACTATTAATTATGCCCGATTTACATGGATATGGAATAACAACAATTGTATAGAATGAAATAAAAATCATAAAATCGCTGCCATTATCCATACAATACTATTTTAGTATTTTATTTTGCTCCTAAATTTAATTCAGATAATTAAAAACTATCAAATGTCCATTACTGCATAAATTTTAAATTCACTATCATCTTTAATCACAAATTTTTAAAATATCACTATCAACTTTAATAACAATTTTTAATATACGAATAATTAATAATTTTTTAAATGTCAATGTCATGAACTTTAATCATAATTTTTAAAAATATCACTATCAACTTTAATAACAATTTTTAAAATCACTATTAATTGTTGCCCGTTTAAATATGGAATCGAATAAAAATCCTTTATACACGCCATTAAATATGGAATAACAACAATTGCACATAATTTGGAATTGGAACGTACATAGCAATTTTTTTGGCTCCATTATCACTATTAAATTACTGCCGATTAACATTATTTTTTGTATGAAATGGAATAAAAAATATTTTTTCACGCCATTAAATATGAAATAAAAGCAATTGCACATCTATATATATCTAAAAAGGATGATGGAAAAATCCTCAACACGCGTAGGAAAACAAAAATCACAAAATACAAAAATTATTTTATGGCACCATTCAGAAGTACAGTAGACGTCGTGAGTCGATTCAACAAACCGTTTTTGAAGTTGTGAGTAGTTCTACTGCTGGAAACTCATGACGATCCGGAGCATCCAAACGCCTTTCATATCCTGTTTCATGATGAAGGGATAATTATTTTCAAATATTTTATCATTAACATTATTTTCATTGTTTGTATTATTTATTATTTTCAAAACTGAATTTACATTTTTTTGTATTATTTATTATTTCAACTATGTAGGGTTCATACATGAAAGAAATAGAACGTTCGCAGCATATGAGCATATTTCGAGATCGCCTTAAACAAGGCGAGGTGTATTTTATTCGCAATTACAATGTTGAATATAATAGTGGGAGGAATAATATAATAACTAATTGTTGGAAGATTGTCCTTAATGGAAGGACAGATTTTATCAAATACAATGGGAATTTTCCTCAATACTAGCAATGATCGATATATGGTTGTCGTCTGGATTTCTTAGGTTTTTATTATATATAGATTTGATGATGGATGTGTACTACATTTTATCATGAATAAATTTTTATTAGTAGACTCCTCATTCGATTTTGTACTTACATACAGTTCTTTTATTGTTTGTTTGTTTTATTTGTTCTACATGATTTATTTTTATATATCTGTTTGTTGTTCATTTTTTTATTTGTGTTCTTTCAAATTCTAATAATTTATAATTTCATGTTATTGAATTTATTTTATTTTATAATTTATTCGATTAAATCATTGCATGCTTGAACAATTTAACATACTCGCCTTTTTTTTTAAATAGATTACATTATAATAATTAAAAAATAGGATATTATATTAAAAATAACAAAATTTTCTTCTTTTTTTTCTTTTATGCGCTTAAAAAAATATTAAGCTTGATCAATTAATCAATTAACTGAATAATATAATTAAATAATATAATAATACATTTGAGAGATTCATTTCTATAAATTGTTTCTATAAATTGTGTCTCTATAACCAATTATTAATGAATTTGTGTATAAAATTTTGTTTTAATGACAATTTAATTATTTTAATGATGATTTTATTATTTTAATACATATTGTATAATCGGGATATTATAATCTTTACTAATAATTAATAATTAAAATAACTAAGAACCATTAGATAAACAAATATATACTTAACAATATCAGATACACAAATTAACTAACAAACATGTTTTTAGTCATGGCCAGTTATACGTCGTTGTTTCACGTGTTACTAATAGGAAGGGGTTGTAAATATTAGTTTGTGGGGACGATGAGTTACCCAGTAAACGTTGTATATAAGGAAGTTTTTAATAATGTATAACTTTATACAAATGACGATTTCATGTTTACTTTATAAATGTCATATATATTATAATAACTTATTAATTAATGATCTTTTAATTTTTTAAAATATTTCAAAATATGTACTAGCCCGTGCATCACACGGGTTACATACTAGTAATATATAATATGATTGTGTATATATATATTATTCGGTCCGTTTGGTTATTTCGGACATTTTGTATCCGAAAACTGATACCGACCGAAATAACTGAGAAGTTACAAATTGAAAACTGACTACCGACTGAGTCGTACAAAAACCGAACCAAAATTTTCGGTTCGGTCGATTTCAGTCGTTTCAGTCGGATTGTGCTAAATGAGTTAGGTTAAATTTGGTGTCTTTGATCTCAAAACCCATAAATCTATACCATTATATTTTGAAAAATATTTTTTAATTTATTTTTGTCTAGTCAAATTAACTTAAGATTATATATCTCACTATATATTATATATATTCTATGCATTGAATTCCTTTATTTAATTTATTTCTAAATTTCAATGCATATTATTTTATTTAATTTATTTTAAATAAAGATGTATTTAGTGAGTTTGATTATAGGGAAAACAAATTGTTAAATAAAATAGTATTTAATATTAGACGACCATTTTTCTGTAATAGAGTAAGTGAACATAAGTAATATCATTTTTATAGTGTGTAATATGTAAAACATATCAAGTTAAAAGTTGCAATTAATATACCAAACTATTTGTACACTTTTTTTTTATGTTTTTTGTTGATTTAAGAATTATTTTCTTAACAAATATTTGAAATTCTTAACTTATCTTAAAGATAAGGGAATACACAAATTTTAAGCTAGAGAGATCATGATACGTAAAATAATATTACTTATAAGTATTGGTAAATT